TTCTTTGTGAGAGGTTTTAATTGTGGAATTGGAAGAAGATTATCAAGCAAAATTCATATCGAAAAATTGACACAAATATTGAGAGGACAATTCAAGAGATATCAGGACTCCATGGAAGTCAACCAAAAAATTCAAGATTTCTTCTCAGTTATTCAATTTCCGAGTGATGTTGATTAAACTTAGAATGATTTCTTGTAATTTCATTACGTTAAACTAGATTTTGACATTGTTAGGCTGAGATGAATCCTTGATTTTTGGTTTGAATAATTAGTTTGACATTAATTTGTTTGAATGCTTGAATGTTTATTATGTTTAGCTTGATTTTCAATTAATTGGCCACCGGTTGAATTGTTTGTAGGTTCTATTGGCATCGAGAGAGATATTATGATCATTAGCGCATAATAATAAGCATTATGAGGTTCGATAGAGGATAGATATATACCTCTATTCTTCACATGATTTATATAGATGTTCCGTTTATTACTTTCTTGCATGTTTGTATCTTCCATAGAGATATAGGAAAGTCACATGTAGAATTAGATTTAATTGTAAACAAAAGAAGCTTTTAAATAAATTAGGAACATTGACCAACTTGCATGATATCAATGTATCACTTTAATTGTTGGACTAAAAATGGAATAACAAGAGGGAATTCAACATTTTAGCAATACATCTCACAAATTTGATAAATTTTTCCTTTGTTTTCTAGTTAGTTGATAAATTAGAAATTGAATAATTACAACTCAATATTGCTATTTGATTAAGAGTATTAATAGCTTTAACTCAATCAAACACAGTTCTCGTGGATTCAACACTTAATTCAACATAATATTACTTTATCACGATCTCGTACACTTGCGAGTTTTCAAAGGGTTAAGTGTTTTCTGCCGTTGCTGATAACTATTGTTTTTTTTATAACTTTTAGTTAATTTTAGCTTTAATCTGAATGTTACAATTTTTTTAGTTTAGTTTGTTATATTGGAAAAACTTTACAATGTTTCTTACTTCCTTTTTCAAAACCTTGTATGCAAAATTCGAGAACCGGTAATTATGCTCAATTTGATCCAGAGATCAAACAAGCATTTAGCCTTCGAAGAAAACAACAATTGGAAACATACCAAAAACATAAAGAGGAAAAAATGGTAGAGGAATATCTGAATTAAATAGCCATTAGGGCTAATATGAGAACAACACAATCAAATATAACCCCAGCTAACGAAAATTCAAGGTTAATAGGGAAGAACATAGTTCCACCGATTGTGGAAAGGTAATCTAGCATAGTATATCCAGCGTTTGGTTAGGCAAACTTTCAGTTGAGGATGGATGTCTTAAACATGTTCCAAAATCCTCTACAGTCTTTAGGAGAGCTACTGAGATCCCTAACGCTCACATATCAAAATTCTTGGACATGTATACAACAATCGAGTATTCGGGATTGTCAAGCGAATCAATCAGACTGTGGCTTTTCCCATATACATTGAGAGACTTAGCTAGAGAGTGGCTAGACACTTGTCCACCTAAACATCACCACATTGAACCAATTGAGTAAGAAGTTCATTAGTAAATATTTTCCCCTTGAAAATGATTGCAAAGCTAAGAGTTGAGATTATTATTTTCCAACAACTGGACTCAGAATGCTATTCTGAGGCTTGAGAATGATACAAAGGTTTATTATGCCAATGCCCACAACATGGATTGTAGAAGTGGCTTCAAGTGCAATACTTCTACATTGGTCTATATCCTATAAGCATGGCTAATATAGACTATGCTTGTAATGGTTTTATCACAAGAAGAAGCACGGATCAAGTTTACTAAATCATGGAAGATTTGGCATTCACCAATGCACTTTGGCCTACTGAAAAGACGAGTGGAAAGAAATTTGCTGAGGTATTCGAAGTTGTTTCTTTGACAACAATTTCAGCACAGTTGGCATCATTGGCACAGAAGGTGGATTAGATAAACACAACCCAGATAGTGGTATCAAAATGCAAATATTGTAGAGGAAACCATGAGAGTGTTGATTGTAATGTAGGGTATATTTTTGTTTATAAAGTAGATGAAGTGAACTACACTTAGAATTTTCAAAGGCAATAATACAATCTAAATCCTAACACCTATTACTCAGGTCAGAGAAATCATTTAGGTTTTCAGCTGAGTAATAATCAGGCGGCTCAGACCGCACAATAGCAAACTACACGGACAAGTTTTCACTAAAATGAGAAGAAGTCCTCATTAGAAGATCTTGTGACTAAGTTGGTAGAAATATCAATTCAACACATGCAAACAATGAATAAGAGCTTGCAAGTTTAGGGAGCTGCCATCAAAAATTTGGAAAATCAGATGTGACAGATAGCCAAGGCACTTTTAGATAGACTATCAAAAGCATTACCTAATGACACTGAAACAAATCCTAATGAGCTCTATAATGCGATAACTACTAGCAGTGGGGTACATCTACACGAGATAAATGTGAAAGGGCCAATTCCTACACATGAGAAAGTACCTACCATGATTGAGGAGCACTTGGAAGAATCTGAATAGAACAAAGAACAAGATAAAGCATCAGAGGAACCAAAGGTATAGGTAACCGCTCATGCCAAAGAAATTGTTCAACCACTCCCATTTCCATATAAGCTACAAAAGCATAATCTAGACAAGCAGTTCTCGATGTTCCTTGAGATATTCAATAAAAATGTAGATCAATATACCATATGAATGCATTTACATAAATGTCCAGCTACGAAAAATTCATGAATGAGATACCCACAAACAAGAAGAAATTGGAAGATTTGGAGATAGTTATATTGAATGAAGAATGTAGTGCCATCCTATAAAATAAGCTACCACCTAAACTAAAGGACCCAGGGAGTTTTATTATCCCCTGTACTATTGGTAACATGAAATTTGATAAGGTTCTTTGTGATTTAGGTGCTAGCATTAACCTCATGCCTCACTCTACATTCAGGAAACTAAACTTAGAAGAGGCAACGGAAACATCGATCTCTTTGTAGTTGGCAGACAGGTCCATAAAAGTTTCCAGGGAAATTATTGAAGACATATTGGTGAGGATAGATAAATTTATGTACGCTACAAATTTCGTCATTTTAGACATGGTTGAGGAGGACAAGGACGTGCCATTAATATTGGGAAGACCATTTCTTGCAACATGTCGGGCCTTAATTGATGCTCAAAAGGGACAATTGATTGTGTGATTGAATGATGAGCATGTGATATTCAACGTCTTCTGTGCTGTCAAGTATCATACGGAATCAGATAGCTGTCTGCACATTGATATGGTAGATTTGGTTGTGGAGGAGACTTTCATTCTTAAGCACCCTCAAGACCACTTGGAGAATCCTCTTATACACTCACAAGATAAAAAAAAAAAAAAAAAATCAATAGTTGAAGAGATACGTCAGATTGCCTACATTATGGAGTCTACTCTACCCATTAGAAAAAGGCAGTTTGAGGAACTTAGTGCATGACCTACAAAACGATTACCTTCTATTCAGAAAGCACCAAATTTGGAGCTCAAGCAATTGCCATTACATATTAGGTATGTTTAGAGTGACAATATAAAAAAAGTGAAAGTTAAGAAAACTTGAAGTAAAATGAATGTAAGGGTTTTATGTGAAAATACAAGTATATAATGATTCAACTATTGTAGAAGAATTACAATATATTTTTAAATACAAGGAAATAACCCCCAATTTAATTTAGGCTCCGTTTGATTGGCGGAGTTTTCCAGGGAAGTAGGAAATATCACTTTTTTGACTGTTTGATATGCGAAATTTTCCACGAAAAATGTTTTCCTCCCTTTTTCTAGGTACAACAATTTGATACACAAATGGTGGAAAATGTTTTTTCANGTAGAAAAAATTATCATTTTAATGGACAAATTCCATAAAAAACGAAGTCAAATGGACACCAAATTTTCAACATTTTCCATGGAAAATTATACAAATCAAACACAATTAATTACAATTCCCAGTAAAACATTTTCTAAGAAAATCAATTCCCTGTAAAACATTTTCTTTCTACCCATTTTCCACCATTGCAATCAAACGGACCCTTACAGTAAAAACTCTCAAGTATAGAATGATTCCATTATTGTAGAAGAATTATAATATTTTTTTTAAATTACAAGGAGGTAACAACAAACATTCAGGAGTCTCTATTTTTTTTTTTTTATGTATCTCTATTATCAATATCTCTCAAAGGCCTAAAACTCTCTTATATTGTGATGCTCACTTCTTGCACACCCACCGCTTCAGAATTTGCTTCAATTTATAGGCAAAAGCTAGCACTATACACCACTATTTAGAACTGCGTGTCTTTGGTAAGTTCACCAACTACTTTAATTTTTCAACAAAAGCTACTGATTGGTGGCCATTGTAAAATTCTTCTATATAAATCAATGGCGGCTAGCTTTAAACGTTTCAGTGATTAGCATTATATGATGGAATATCGATTTTTATAACTTTAATAGTGGTGTTGTGGCTTTCACAAGATTACGAATCACTCGGCAATTTTCTTGTTTTAACGTACCTTTGGAATTTAGATCACTGAGATCAATAAACTTCGAACACATAATCCTTCTGTATGTGAATATATCCTTGTATTTATTCTTTTTGATTGTTTTGTCATATAAAGTTTAACATAAACTATCCGTTCGTGGACGAATGAACAAAATGCCGATTAGAATCACTCGTTTCTATTGACCAGACAACGAGTGTGTTATCTTTTTCTATTTTTTATTTCAAACAATATATGGTGTAACAAATACTATTGACCAGACAAAGAGTCTCCTATCTTTTTCTATTTTTTATTTCAAATAATATATGGTAACAAAAATACTGATGTGTCTGCATTGAGTCATTAATTCTAGCCCCTGCTATTATTTGTACCGTAGATTCTCCACAGACAATAATTTCTTAATGGAGACAAGAGGCCAGATAGGACCCACAAATTGTGGCATTATTCATCATTTGCTCTATTCTTTAAGGACGGTGCACCAAGAAATTATCATCAAAGAGTGTGGAGTTGATGAATTCTTCAAGGACAGGGAGTTGTTGGTCGTCATCGTAACTGTACATTAGAGGAACCATTCTTGCAAGATTAAGAGAAGCTTTTGTGAAGGATGAACTTGCCGAGTTTTGATTTAAATGCAAACACTCCTTGTTAAGACGCTTCCATTCACTTGATATAATATCAACAACATGCTCTCGCGCAATCTCGATGGTTGATCCTGGATTCTCTTTCACATAGCACTCTATGTACGAACCATCGTTTCCATCTTGCTGCTCATCCTGTCATTAAGTTGATGCAAAACAAATTAACAATTAATTTGAAATTTATTAACATTGAAGTATCAATCATAATGTTTAAAATTCTAGATGATGGTCTTGCCTAAAAGGTTAAATTGTCATAGAGGGGAAGAGTATTATGGAGTTATGATATAAAATTTTAGTATGTAATTACCTTGGCACTTCCAAAGTCATCCCAGAGACGGAGAATAGCGGCCACAGAGGATATGAGTTCTGATATATCATCCACCTGAACGGCCCCTCTTGTTCTTTTATTGATTCCCAAAAGGAAGAAGAGGTGGACGAGCACCACATGTACTCCTGAACTCACCTTCCCATTTTCTAGGTACTCATTGGAGGTTGGTAAGTGCCGTGAAGCAAACCATTTAGCTTCTACTAGGAAAGCGTCACACAGACATGCCCACTACAATAAATGAAGGATATGCCATTAATGAGATTTATGTACGTCGTGTAGAGATATATTAGGCTCTTGTTTGGTTTAGTTAAAAATGTTAGATTTTAATCTCAGTCAAAATCAATAATTAATTTTAACCACACATTTTTTTGACATGTTTTTATCGACTTTTTGAGAACAAGTTTTATCAATTTTTATCAAAATCTATTAAAAATCTTATTTTTATCTATACCAAATAGGAGCCACTTATTTGTACGGACGGAAAAGACTATCCATCTTACCGTT